GTTTATTTATTTTTAATAAATTGATAATTAAATAAAAATGATAAGACATGGTACCGTTTAAACTTTTGAAACTTAGAATAGAATATAAAAAGTTTTCATTAGTTGAAAGGTATGAAACTTGAAAAGTCTCCCTTTGAAACGGGACGGAGACATAGACGAGGATGGGACAGCTTATTTATCTAATTGGGAGAAATTTTCTCCACTCTCTCCCCTATTTCCAATTCAGTATAGGTTTCCATGAAGCTCTTGCACATCCCATTTCCGGTTCAGTACGGATCTCTATAAAACTATTGCACGCGAGTTAAATAAACATCTCTAATTATATTATTCTGAAAAAAAAAAGAAAAAAAAGAGAGAAAGCCATTTGTTAAAATTAACTAGCCACGTGGGTAATAAAAGGGTGGAGTTCTGAAAATTTCATTACCCGCAAAGCCATGCATACTCCTCCCACAGTTGAAATGAAAACCTCTGCTATCGAACTCGATAGCAGGTATGAAGGATGTAAAGCTTGTATCACTTAATCCAATAAAGATATCTCCCCTTCTAAGTTTCCATACATTCAAGCACCTCTTACCTGTGTTTATCACAATTATTAAATGAATGTAATATTTAGTAGTTACTACTAAATCTTCAACTTACCGTGGATTGAAAGTCTAATACAAGGACCATTATAAAATTTAGCGAATTGAAATTGATGTCATGTGTACACATAAGTTGACTTTGATATAAAGAACGATATCAAACTTTCATTAAGGATAAATTGATGACATCAGCCGAAGCTAATCAGGTAAGTGTCTTATTATCGGCTCAGTCGGAAGATTTATCTTATGTATAACGATATGTGTCTAGTGGCCCTTGCACGTGTCATTTATGTTTTATGTATTATGATGATATGATAATGTTGTATGATGATGTGTTGAATTATATGATGATATGATGATGTTGTTTGATGATGTGATGATGTTATATGATAACGTAATGATGTTATATGATGATGATATGATATGATATGTGACATGATGATGATGGATGATAACATGATGACAATGATGCATGATAACATGAGGATGTAAGATGCATGATGATGAGACGACTTAATATGATGATATTCCATATTAAGATAATGTGCATGTACTAAATGTCATGATGCATTGTGACGAAGAGTTTTCCAAGACATAACCCTATATGATGCTAATGATGAAGAAATTACGAAGGACAATACATGCATGTTACTTAGGATAATATGTGAATGATGTATAGAGTTGTGTCTTAAAAATAATTTAAGATGAAAACTATTGGAGCCTCATGCATATTATGTGTTCATATACGTTGGGTTACTTCCCCATTTATGATAATGAGCAGGGACGCGAACACTATGATGATGATGATCATCATGCCTTGCATGATACTCGGAGGTTTACTGACCTCCGGACGTCTAGCTACAAACAACTAACTTGATTATGATGGGTCCAGGGGGTGCAAACTGTCTGGAGATTCACACTCGCACGTGTGGATTGTATGTAGGGAAGTACTACAATCCAATTTTGTCCGGACTCGAGGCCACCTCCATGATGGTTTTAACGATAGGTCTCTAAACATAAATTGCATGTGTTTGCATTCCCTGACTCCAATAGTGGGGTCACTTACGGAGTATTTCTTAAAATACTTAAGTTGTGTACTACTTATTTCACAGAAAGGCAAAACACCCCTATATGGCTGACGACGACATCAAAGTCAAGACTATGACATATGCATAGGATAGTGAAATTTTATTTCTTTGACTTTAGGTTAGTATAGGATGTTTTACTTTTAATATTTTATTTAGTATTTTGTTACGTTGTTTTAAAGATGTTTTCGAACACGTAAGTCCATGACAGTGTTTTATGATGAAGTTTTAAATGTTTATTTATGCATAAGAGAGTATGTTATGATGACGGTAGTGACTTTAGGTTAGTAGAAATCTAAGGTTGTTACACGATGGGCTCCGAAGGGGGATGGATTGGGGGGTCTCACATCGATTAGAGAAGTGAGCGAGTGCCAGCGTGGACGCTGGACCCCTAAAGAGAGTGAAATGTGAGATCCCACATCATTTTGTGAGGAGAACAAAACATTATTTACAAGGGTGTGGAAACCTCTCCCTAGCAGACACGTTTTAAAAACATTGAGGGAAAGCCAGAATGAGAAAGCCCTAAAAGAACAATATTTGGTAGTGATGGGCTTAGGCCGTTACAATGCATATATCATATCATAAAGCATGTAACAATATGCATCATATCGTCAAACATATCATATTCACAATCATATCATATCACAAACATATCGTTTCATAACATTTCATATATAACAAACATATGACATGTGCAAATCTACGGGACACACATGTCATCATACATGAAATAATTTCTAATCGAACTAATATTTAGGCCACTTACTAGCTTGGCTTTGGCCGACGTTCTTCTTAAAATATTTGCTTGAGCTCGTCCTTCAAATCTTATTCCACGTGTCGCCGAGATATCTCCTATAGAACAAACCCTAATTTCTTAATCTAATTTAACTTGAGACTTAGAAATTTAGCATCCCACCGACCTTTTTCGCCTTCACTAAGGTTGAAATCAGCTTGAAGGACGGTCGAAAAGGAGGAATTGGGTGAAATTTTCTTATAGCACGTCGAGAAGTTGAGTCGAGCCGACTGAGATACGTAAGTCGAAGGAGTCGATGTCTACTGCACAACACGTGGCACTAGAAGGAGCTGACGCGTGCGCGATAACGTTTCAGGTTGAGGCGTGGGTTATGAGGTCAGCTGGTGGTCTCAGGTTGCAGTGAGCTGAATTTACTGGATTTGGATCTAGGCCTCTAAGTTGTCTGGGCCAGGTGTTTGTGTTGTAGGGCCGAGTGGGTCACTACAGGTGGGCTGGGTAAAGAGTTGAGGGGCTGGGTTGAATATAGGGTTGTAGATGGGTACCCGACCCGGATCCATGGGTTGCATCTTCTTCACCCATGTACGCTGTGAATTCACGAGAGTTTTCTCTCTCTTCTCGAAGGTACCCGACCCGAAATTCTCGCACCTTTTCTCGTGACTTGGACAATTTTTTTTTTGTAACTGTTACATGGTGACCCGAATTTTAGTTGACTGACTTATTCGAGGATGAGAATAAGTACTGTACAATCGTGTTATGAATATTGACCGTGTATGATTGTGATACTTAACACTATATCTTATGTAACGGCCAAGTCAACCGCTAGTAAATATTGTTTTCTTTGGCTCTTTCGCTCAAAGTTTTTTAAATGCATTTCCTAGTAGAGGTTTCTACACCCTTATAAAGAATGTTTCGTTCTCGTCTCTCACCGATGGGAGATCTCACAATCTACCTCTTTGGAGTCAGGCTTCACCTCAAGGTTTTTAAAAAACGTCTGCTAGGGAGAGGTTTTCACAGTTTTATAAAAAATGCTTCGTTCTCCTCCCCAACCGATGTTTGATCTCACAATCCACCCCTTCCGAACCTAGCTCCAATCGATGTGGGACCCCATTCTATTAGTTCATGGAGACTGCGGTTTATTTATAAGTTAATCAACGATTATACGTAATAAAGCTATATTTAGTAAATGACATAGAAGGTAAATTGTCATAAATATAGGTAAATAGCTATATATATATACATAGTTTATGGAGACTGCAGTTTATTTATAAGTTAATCAACGATTATACGTAATAAAGCTATATTTAGTAAATGACATAGAAGGCAAATTGTCATAAATATAGGTAAATAGCTATATATATATATATATAGTTTATGGAGACTGCGGTTTATTTATAAGTTAATCAACGATTATACGTAATAAAGCTATATTTAGTAAATGACATAGAAGGTAAATTGTCATAAATATAGGTAAATAGCTATATATATATATATATATTATATTACCGTAAATAGTTATATATAGTATATGGTTATATTTGGTAAAACTGTATATAGTAAGCTAAACCATATATATATATTTCTGAGTTTGAAAATGTATTCTTTGTATATACATACTTGCAGTCGTCAATATAAATCTTTAGCCAATATTCTCCTTGCATTTTTCCTATCATGTTCTTTGTATTCATCTAGATCGAATGTGTGCATTGTTGTGTGATCTTAACACAATCCACTCCCCTTCGGGGCTCAGCGTTCTTGTTGGCATACTGCCTCGTATCAATTCCCCTACGGGGCTAAGCCTCCTCGCTGGCACATCGCTCGGTATATGACTTTGATACCATTTGTAACGGCTCAAGCCCACTGCTAGCAGATATTGTATTCTTTGTGCTCTCACTTTCGGCCTTTCGCTCAAGGTTTTTAAAATGCGTCTGCTACAGAGAGGTTTCCACACTCTTATAAAAAAATAATTCATTCTCCTTCCGAACTAGATAGGATCTCACATCTTACCCTACAAGCTCATGTTTATTAATTTTGTAACATCATCGCTTTGAAATTTTTTAGAATTTGAATTTTAAGAGATGTTGTTTGTTTAATAGAATGGAAGGTCGAGAGAAATCAAATAACTATTAGAAAAAACTCATGGAAAAAAACACAAAAAAAATTTAGGTTTCTATCTTTTGTCTTTCTATTTTCTTTTTAAATTTTTTAAAGTTTATTATTATTACTTTAATATTAAAAATATATTATTATTCCTTGGAAGATAATAACGTACGAGAAGAAATTAAAAAAAAAATCATATTTTGGAAAGTTTATTAATTTTTTTATTGTTATTTTAGTATTAAAAGTGTATTTTTCTTTTAATTTTGGTAACTTTATGATTCTTCATTATTGTTATCATTATTATTTTAGTATTAAAAATCTATTATTTTAGTGTTAAAAATTATCTAATTTTGGAAATTTTGTTTTTTTATTTAATTATTATTTTGTTTGCAGAAAAAACTAAAAAAGAAAATGACAGCACGTTCATTCTTGCATTCACCTCTTCCTTATGTGACAATGAAGAGATCATCGAATAAAACTTCAATGGCAACTCTAAAAGATCTCTCCACGATGTTGTTGATCGAAATTCTATCGAGACTTCCGTCAGAGTCACTATTTCAATTAAAATCGGTGTGCAAATTTTGGTACGCTCTAATCAACGATCCTATAAATTTTTCGTTTCAAGATAAATGTATTCTTATGGAGCGAAAGGTGATGGTCAATTCTGAAAACTTTACGTATATACCCTCCATCCTCAAGTTTTCCCTCACCCCTGGTCGATCTATGTCCATTTGCGATCTCCATAGTCCATTCAGAGATTGTGCGTGTTTTAATATTTGTGGGTATTCACATGGCTTGTTTTGTCTTTCCAACGATAGGGTTATTTTCCTCTTTAATATGATGACCGAAAAGTTTCATAAGCTCCCGTTATCAATTCTTCATTTTGGGGATGTCTATGACATTGATTATTCAGCCACAAATGCGGTTGGATTCGGATACGATTCCAAGTCTAGAGATTTCAAAGTGGTTAGGGTTGTAGAATTTGGGAACAAATACGGAGAAACTGATTTCACATATAGAGTGGAAATTGATTTGAGGAAAGAAAGATGGAGGGAAATTGAATCTCCTATTTGTGGGGTTGTATCGGGGTCATTTCCTTATGAGATGCATCATGAAGGAACATATTATTGGTGGGCATTCAAAGAAGGAGGAACTAATATTATACACACGTTCGACATGAGCGAAGAAATTTTTGGCGAAATTTCAGTACCGAACAATGTAGCCGAGGAGGATGAGAAGTATATAAGTATGGGGATTTTGAATGGATCAATTGTTATATTTCACTATCCGGTAACAGGGAATGGAAAAACCTTTGACATTTGGAAGATGGAGAAAGATGTCGTTTCATGGTCAAAACTATTGATAATTGGTCCTATTTTTGGAGTCCAGAAGCCATTGTTGTTTGTGAATTCGGATGAACTTTTAATGGATGCTAACGAAGGACAAGTGATTTGTTACAATATTAAAACTCATATGACCAATGTTCTTCCGATAAAAGGGCTTCCATCCGTGTATGGTACTTGTTATTTTGACTTCGATTTACAAGATGAAAGAGAATCACATATGAATTTTCAAGTTTAGATAAGTTTAAATCTACAAATTCATGTCTTAGGTTCGCGAACCAACCCAATGAGTAGCAAGGGTCGTTGTTCTTCTGTTTGTTTGCTTATCTTGTTTGTTTCAATTTATCAGATCCATATCAAAATTTTGTAGAGAAACACATAAGACCATGAAGTTATTTTAAGTATTCTTCGAAATTTATGCTATAACTAACGTCATTTTAAGAGTTATATTCCACATATGAGCTTAGGATGAAACGTTAATAGCGACTCTAAGTAAATAGAAATTTAGGATCGTTGAAACACTCCTAACTAAAATTACTTTATATAGTTGCAAGAATTGACCTTGCAACCATCAGGGGCAATAAGTGATCGTGCAACATTTAGCTGATGTTGTTAATGGACAACCCTAGTAGAACTAGTACACATATTAAAGTACTCATTTTTAACAAAATAAATAGAAAAATTTCATAGTCTTTTAAATTAACATATCATATTGGTGTTTAGACACAAACTTATCAAATATACAATCTATGACTAATGACCTACCACTAGTTATGTAGATATGTAGTTATGTGTATATATATAATATTCTTCTGCCTTGGAGACTGACTTGACCATATTTCTTACCGATCTATCTGATAATCGATTATTGAACACAAATTTTTGTGGAAACATTCGCACACTTAATCAATCGAGAAGACATTACAAGATACGATGTATAATAATATTGAAAACCTAGGGTGGATGGGTCTTCATAGCATAGGGAAGACAATTTATTCCTAAAATTTCTCAAATTTTTTCTTAATATATCGTGCTATCTTTATTTCTAGAATACCTAAATCATTTTCCTAAAATAAATATATAACTGGCTCGAAAATAAATATATAATGGGCTCATACACGAAAGATTCATATTATTATTGGGCTAGTGATGATATTGTAACCTAATATACACATTAGAAATGTCCATTTAACACGGGTGCATTTTGATTATATATATATGGAGAATTTCGTGGGATGGGAAATGATTCCCTATCCTTAACTGCCTCATGGATATCACACATACGTATGTATGAATATTAACCAATAAAGCGTCTTATAATACCCTTTCAAAAAGGCATATATTAACGAAAATCAAACACATTTTTTCCAACAACAACATTTGTTGTGGGGAGAACAAGCATCTTCTCCCAACGCCAGCTTGTTCTAAACATGGTTTTACCATTACTATTGCCAACGATCGATTTTATGTCGGGAACATACTTTTCGATGATGCATTTTGGTATGAGAAAGAACGTCAAAAAAGAAAACACGTTAGGGAAGAAAAGGAAGGACACACCACACATAAGTTGCTTGAAGAATTTTAAGTATGACATATTGGGCACACCACACATACATCATTTTCATTATTCTTCCCATCTTTTAACTCTTTCTATCCTGGCTAATATTCATCTATTCGTGCTCTCCCTCCCTCTACTTTGATATTGTTTGTAAATGCTCAATCTCAATGCTTTCAAGTGGTTCAACAACCACACGTATAAATGACTACTGTGTTTTAGGCCACCTCCAACGAAATTCACTATTCATGGTATTTGGCTAAGCAACTATCGATGTCAAACTTGTTTGACAAGAAACAAAATTTTCTCTAAATAACAAGGTAACACATGCTGCCATATATGAGATGAGAGTTTTTTTTTTTTTTCTCCATTCAAAAGCATGTAACTCTCGCATGGCTCAAGGCGGCGGGCGCAACTTGGGTTGCAGCCTGGCCCAGCACGGCTTAATTGGGCCAGTTTGGCCCCTTTGAGTAATTCACTAGTTTTAACTCCGATTTTGACACGGTATTTTTCACCAATGTAGGACTTATTGGCGGAGTTTGGTAACTTTTGGAACCCTCTAGAGACATAAATGAGAACAAAAAGTACCACACTTTTCAGGTAAGTGGCACATCGGAACCTTGGATGTAACTATGCTCTTAATATGCAAGAAAGTATGATATAAGAAGCATATCCTAGGAATTTGAGCATAGAATGAGTTGAGATGACACATGTTGAATGTGATTATGTAGGTCTACTGAAACGCGTATGCATTGTCTTATGAATTAAAATTCATAACTAGGTCGATATGCTATATCTCTATTTCATATGTTTATGATATATGCGGTTATACGAAAACAGTAAGGGGTTCGCCAACTAACTCCTAATTGTGAACTTGACTCGATTGTCAGAGGTCCGGATAACTATAAAATTGGCTTATGATAGTTTACGATTTATGATTGTATCATGTGGGGACTACTGCGAAGTTTCCCTGTTAGCTTCCTGTAGTAAGCCTGCCACAAGCAGTAGAGGTCCACAGCTGTACCTTATGAGTTGGTTATGATTATTGTTCATGCATGTGATTTATGTGGTTATACGAGGATGATAGGGATTCGCCAACTAACCCCTCACCGTAAACCTGACTCGATTGTCAGGGATCCGAATAACCATAGAACTGACATATGATGTTTTATGATATATGATTTGGGCCCTGTGAGGACCATTAGTCCCCACAAGGAAGTTTTCCCGTTAGCTTTCTTTTAGTGAACCCGTCGTGAGTGGTAGAGCGCACAGTTGCACTTTAGAGTTGATCAAACCTTAACATGCTTGATCCTTGTGAAATCTCTATCGAGGTTGCATCTCGAGGACTCTGAGATATGATGATGATGAGAGACTAGCAGAAACGACTAACTAGGAGACCTAGAGAACCTAAGAATACTCAGAGGGCTGGAGGTCCAGATGGGATCGAAAACCAAAAAATAGAATGAGTAAACTTAGGGTGTAGCCTAGGAAATGCCTATTTTGGGAACCAAACCCCCTAATGAGAATAAGACACCGAATGAACTAACAAAGATTAGCAAAACTCGGTAATGAACTATGAACTACTAAGAAGCTACTTACTGCGTATATTTTAGATACTCATCCCTGCTACTCTGGATTTTCTTCTAGATGAGGTTTGATGGAGCGTTTGAGGTGGAGACGCACACGAGCTAGGGTCTATGGAGTTTTGGGCTAGATCGTGTCATGTGACCTATTGATATGTTTTACTTACAAAACTTTTATGTTTAGTTTGTATTTCTGGATTTCATGGACTACTAGTGTCAGTTCTTTTGTGTGTGTCATGTGAGTCTTCAGTTTGTGATATGTTTTCAAACGTCGTACTTAATCTAAATTTTCTATATTTGCATATATGTTTAAAAGTTTTAAATTTGACGCATTTTTACTTATTTTCATGTGAGTAAGTAATTGTCCGTGATTTGAGTCCCTCGCAAAGCAGGTCGTTACATATTATCATCTAATAATTATTAATGTATTTTTTTTTTCAATTTGATTATAAAAATGATTACTTTATTTTAAAAACTAAAATGATGTTTACTTAGAATTTAAAATTGGGATGAAATTTTGTTGCATTTTTTCTAAAATTAGAATCTCAAATTCACAAATTTTTCTAAAAGGACTAAACACTTATTTTGTTCCTTATTTTTCCGTTTTTAGTTGATTTTATTTCTTTATTTTTCTTTTTTGAGTTATTATTAAGATATAAATATATTTAGGGTATATTTTATGGTATAATAGTTAGTTATAATATATATATGAGAGGGTTCTTTTTTTTTCGTTATTTGTATGAATTGGTTAATAGTATATTTTATTTTATTATTAATAGTCTATATTGTATCCTATTTTTCAGGATTTGGTTAGTAGTCTCTTGTTTTTTTTTTTCATTAGTTGATTGTTTGTATCCTATTCTAAACGTTGTAAACATTAATGAAGATAACATTTTCGATTCCGCCTATATTTCTTGTCCTCAACGGTTATGGACGATGAATGGGAGAGTGAATCATTAATTCTACTCTTCCCTCCATTTTTTCTATATATTTGTCATTTCATCTTCAAAATTTTAATCTTCTATAAACTATCCTTTTTCATTATTCTCTCCCTCTAACTCTTTTTATTATGGCTAGCATTCATCTCTTCGGCTCTCTCTCCACTTTAATCTTGTTTTTTAATCTTGTTTTTTAATCTTGTTTGTAAAGGCTCAATTTCAATACTTTCAAATGGTTCAACAATAACCATTGACTATATATATAAATTTCAAATGGTTCAACAATAGCCACTGACCATATATATAAATGTCTACAGTATTTTCTCGAAAAAACAAAGTGCCACATGGTGTATGAGAGTTTTTTTTTCTCCCTTTAAATGCATATAACTCTCCATTTCTTTATTGCTCTAAACAACTTAACTCCAATTTTTTTTTTCACATTTCTTCCACATATAATTCAAAAGTCATGGTCTCAAATGTCCTCCAAATATACCATCAATTTGTATATATGGAGTTAAATATGGATTTTAATTTTAAAATTTTATAAATTCAGTTAAAATTAATTGTTTAACTTTTAAAAGTAACGTCATGGTTTATTTTAACAAGGTGAAAATTAAGACGGTTTTACTTTTTGATTTCTCCTTCCTATAAATGGATCACTATCAAATAGACCACGTTTTTCATTGAGACATTTGATGCACTTAAACCACTTTCGACTTGCTTATTTGATATGCCAATGAGATAAATATGTAACATGTTCCGAGAATATTTTTAAACTGGTTCAATATTTCCAAACAGCTTTGAACATTCCTACAAACCCCAAATACGACGGCCATTTTGAACGTCGCCAAACTCGGCCCGACCGTCAACACATTCCACCAATATCATGTCATTGAAGGTGTCATTCAGGCCGCAATAGGAAAGAAGCCAGACCTCCACTGCAACATCAATATGATGACTAAAAACAGTCAATTGTATGAGATCACATTGTGCTTCGATAAAGATGGAGTGACGACTACTCGCAAGTGCCCAACTCAGTTTAAGTTGGCTTAGCACTCTTCTAAGATGTGCATGGATCGATGCTAAGAAAAAAAATAAAAGAATTGCTTTTTGTTAGCGAATATTTCAAAGATGGTGATTCTCAACCATGCATATATATATA